TATATAAAATCACATAGCAAATTTGATTCTTTCCTAATTGCACTTTTTTTGCAGTACATGCAGTAGGATACCCTGATTCCTCTGCATCTTCAATGTTTTCAGTTTATCAACATTTAGTGTTTTTTTTCCACAACTTCCAGTGACCAAGAAACCAATGTGTTTCTTTTCCACCTAATCCTTCATTGAGACATTTTTAGTTAAGTTTTAGTTTTTACGACAGGTGTTTTGTTTGAAATCTTTTCCCTAACTTAATTTTTCACTGTCAATGCTCTACGAAGTGACAATTAATGTCTTTGGATGCTCCTTTTCATAAATGCACATGCATCTATACATTTAAATGTCTCTTCCTTGGCATAGTTTTTATTACTCTACTGTAAGCTACTGATTGAATGCTGTATTGGATGCTATTTGATTCTGCTAAATGATGTTTTAACTCATGTCCTGTATTCATCACATCTCGCACGTCTGGTCTATTGCATAAATATTGTCGAAAAAAAAGACGCTCACAAAGCTTTTTGTTGTCTAATTGAATAGAATTGCAAGAATACTAAATCTCAAATGGAAATGCAATTCATTGTGCAGAATAAGAGGGTACTGATTCACTGGCAAGTAAACTCTTTACCATCAGTAACCCTTCTTCTGCAGCATAAATTATTCCCTTTTGAGATTTGGTTTTCTTGCGATTCTATCCAGATGAGTACAAGACTTGGACATGCTAGGAGAGTGGGCAAAGAAGTGGTAGATGGAATACATAGTGGGAAAGTGAAAGGTTATGCTCTTTTCTACGAAGAATAGAGCCTATTTTCTAAACAGGCAATGGCTTCAGAAATCTGAAGCAAAAGGGATGTGGGAGTCCTAGTTAAGGATCCTCTTAAGGTTAACATGCAGGTTCAATTAGCAGTTAGGAAGGCAAATACAATGTTAGCATTCATTTTAAGAGGGCTAGAATACAAGGGCAGAGATGTACTGCTGAGACTATATAAAGCTCTGGTCAGACTGCATTTGGAATATTGCGAACAGTTTTAGACACCATATCTAAGGAAGGATGTGCTAGCGTTGGAGGGTATCCAGAGGAAGTTTGAGAATGATCCCGCATGAAGGGCCTGTCATATGAGGGGTGTTTGAGGACTCTAGGTCTGAACTCGATGGAGTTTAGAAGAACGGAGGTGATGGTGGGATCTGACTAAAATTACAGTACACCTGCGAGGCCTTAATGGAGTGGATGTGGAGATGTTTCCACCAGGAGGATAGAGTAGGACCTGAGGGCACAGCCTCAGTGAAGGGACAACCTTCTAAAGGAGATGATGAATTTCTTCAGCCAAGGGGTGCTTAATCTGTGGAACTCATCGCCAGAGGGTTGTGGTGGCCAAGTCACTGAACGTAATTAAGACAGAAGTAAATAGGCTCTTGATTAGTAAGGGGATCAAGGGTTACAGGGGAAAGCAGGTGAATGGGATTGAGAAACATACTGCCATCAGATCAAATGGTGGAAGACTCACTGGGTCGAATGGCCTAATTCTGCTCCTATATCTTATGGATCAAGACTGAAAACATCAGCATCATGTCTCTTGCTTTCCCCCAGTGATATTCAAGTTCTGTATTACCAAGTAATTATTTGCATATTGCTCCTGCAAAATAGCTCACTAAGTGAAGAAATATTTTTAAAATCATTATGCTGATGGTCAGGCTGACGAGAAATAGGTGATAGTAATTCACTGGCAAGTACTTCCATTGTCTTCGGTGTCACTGACTAATATCCTTCCTACTGAGTTCTGTCTCTCTTTCTTTCTTTCTTTCCTTCCTTCCCTCTACCCTTCCTTCTCTCTTTCCTGTTCTTTTTCTCCTCTTCCCTTGTCCTTCTCCCATTTCTCTGTCTCTCCCTGTCTGTTTGAACGAACACAGTGTGCGTACTTTTCTCTACTGCGTCAGTAAATCATTTCTATCTGTCTCTAGCATGCTTTAGCTTCTCCAAATAATTTTGGAAAAGCACAAGATGGTATTTCAAGTACTTTTCTCTAGTGAAAGAAAATAATGTACTAAATTTGCACATGTTGTAAGTTCGATTATAGATGCTGTGCAAACCTCAAATTATATGGGCGCTATCTTTGCATGTTTTAATTAAACTTTCAAAACTCAATGTTTATATAAATTTAACACAGCCTCCAACCATCTCAGTCACTTACTCTGGTGTTGTCTGCGTAAAGCTTATGGTTTTTTCGTAAAATCTGTTGAATTGGCAAGCAGTGCTATGGCGAATCTACTAGATTTCCAAATCAGTGCTGTACATGTGATATGAAGTAATCAATGATGTAGACTGTACAACTAAATTTGACATTTCTAGAATTGGGATAGTTTACATAAAAGTACTGGATTAAAGAAGTTATATTGGATAGAATTTTGGGTTTTGTTGTTCTGATACAAAGATGTTGTTAAGTCCTGTTAGCTTAACAATTGAAGCATAACCTACACATGACCTTTCTTATTCCAAAAACTGTAATTTGAGTTTATATTGCTAACATAGCACTGAAAATTGAAGACACCTGTACTATGTGGATTCCAGTCAGTTTTTTGCAGTCATTTGACATTGGAATGCTTTCAGTTTTGAAGTATTTCACTATTCTCTATTTATACAACATCAGGAATGCATTGCATTTATATAAAATAAAAAGTGACAATTTCCAGATCCCTTTGCAACATGCCTCTTAAATATAAAATTGATACATTGAATTCTTAAGTTTTTTTTTTAAACTTCATTTATAATTTTAAAGCATGAAACTTGTTGCTTCCTCCAATCAATCTCATCTCCAGTGCAGTTCAGTAATATGATTTTTAGCCAGCCTTGTCAGACCATAAGATCTGATTTGCAGGTAACTGGAAACATGTTGATTATGCAACACCTTTATTCAAAAAAGGATGGAGGCAAAAAGTGGTAGCTATAAGCCAATTAGACTAACATCTATTGTTGGAAATATATTCGAATCAGTTATTAAGGCAGTAATAGCAGAACATTTGGAAAACCATAATCTAATCAACCAGTGTCAATATGGCTTCGTGAAAGGGAAATCATATCTGATTAATTTTAGTTCTTGAGTAAGTCTCCAACCAGAGTAGATAGACAGTTAGTAGATGTGTTGTATTTGAACTTTGAGAAGGCATTTGACATTATACCTCTCAAAACATTAAGTTATAAGATAAAGGGCCACGGTGTTGGCATGGCTAGAGAATTGGCTAATGGGCAGGAAACAGCAAATGGGTTCTTTTTCAGGTTTTTGACTGGCAACCAGCGGGTTTCCACTGGGATCTGTGCTGGGAACGTAGCTGTTTACAATATATGCTAATGACTTGAAGTAAGGAAACCAATTCACTGACCCAAACTTGCAGTTGGCACAAAAATAGGTGGAAAAGCAGGCTGCGCGAGGGATACAGACAGTTTACAGAGAGGTATTGATAAGTTATGTAAGTAGGCAAAATGTTGGAAAGTGGAGTACCATCTGGGAAAATGTGAAGTTGTTCATTTTGGAAGGGAGAAAAAAGAACTATTTAAATTGAGGAAAAACGGCAGAAAACTGC